GCTCACACCGTGCCCTCTTTTCTGGGGCTTCTTGCCTCTTTCCCAGATCCACCATGCCCTGGGTTTTCAGGGGACGGCTGTATTTTCCTCCCACTCAGGTTTTGGGTGCCCCATGCCCACTCCACACCCTCAACTCCTGCATCTCCCCACTCGCCGGGCAGGCCGCTGGGGGTGTCCCCCTGGCCACAGGAGGTGCCCGAAACCAGCGCCGGCTCCAGGTTGTCCTTGGGGAGTGGCAAGTCGGCTCCGGCACTTTCTTCGGCAACTCGGGGCTCCGGCCCTCCGGACACGGGGCTGGACAGGGGGTAGGTGACACACTCAAACCCGCTGTGGAGGAGACAGCAGGTGGGTGTGGCCCTGCTCGTCCCCAGCACCAGGCAGGCTGGAGCCGGTCCAGGAGGGATCAAGGCTGACGTGGCTACTCTGAGCTAAGGTGGCCCCACCCTGGAGCACATCCAGCCACTCTCAGGGGTCCTGCCGACCATCCCAAGACCCCTGCTGGGCTGTGAGGCCCAGAAGAGGGAGGGCCTGCCTGGGGAGGGAGGCTGGGCCGCGCTGCTGTCACTTAGAACGCACCCGCGTCGCCTCCGTGGGTGACCTCACTCTGAAGCTCAGTGCCAGTTACCCCAAATGCAGTCGGCCAGCCATCGGCCCTGGAGGGCTGCTCAGGAAGGACTCTCTACATTTCCCGTCCTGTTGCTCAAGTTACATCTGAATTCTGACTACGAAGGCAAAACTGACGGGTTTTAGTAGCACGGGACTTGGAATGGGGCCTCTTTTGGAGGTCCTGCGGCTCAGGCCCATCTTTGGCCTCTGAGGATGGGCTAATGTGCCAGCCTGGCTGAGAGCACGTTCCAGGGCGGGTGGCGGATGCGTGTGGGGAGCAGGCGCCCAGCGGGGCCTGGAGGGGGAGTCAGGACTGTCCCCCACAGTCACATCGAGACTGTGCATCCACTCGCTACAGGTACCTCTCCTGCCCTCCACACTGAGAACGGCCAGAGCGTCTCTGGCACCCACCCTCCTCCCAGGAGCACCTGAGGGTTGGTGTCCTGAGGTCCCCACTCCAGAGACGCTGTAGCCCTGTCCCACTCCCTGTGGCTCCGCACTGCTCCCGTCCTCCAGGGCCACTCGCTGTCTCACAGTGCCTTGTTCCTGTCTTTTCCCCAGTGACCTGGATCCCATGCCTGGTTGGTCCCTGCTGTGTCCCCAGCCCTGCCTCAGTCTGGCCTGTGGGGAGAGCGGGGGGCCCAGGATAGGAAGCGTTCTGGTTGCTCCGCTCCTCCACAAAGTTGAGGAGATACCTGGTGCACAGTCCCGTGCCCTGGGGCATCCTCCACGTCCCTGTGACTCACAATGGGGTCTGGATGGGTGTCTCTTGGTTGCCTTCATCCATTTTGATAAAGCTGACCTTGGAGTAGTCTGGGAGCTTCACGTATCTGATGCCCGCCGAGATCCTCAGGAGACGGCCGTTCTCACCTTCCAGAGGAGAGGGAAGCAGGAAACAGGCCCTCAGACTGCACCAGGATGGCACATGTGGGCGTGGGTCTCACCGGGGCCACCCCCGGGCAGGGGCTCGGGCTGGCAGGCATGTGTGACATGGTGTTTTAGCTCAGTGTGACCACATGTAATTTCAGCTTGTCCCTCGGTGAGGACCCGCTCCCCTTCATCAGGCCTCTCTGCTCCTCTCCTGGACCCTGCAGAGGTCTCCTCCTGGCCCTAGATTCCTGGTGCTGTACACACTCACCCTATATCTCTGCCCCTGACCTTGGGTCCTGAACCTCGAACCTCCAGTGCTGGGCCTCAGGGCACCGGCTCCATCCTTGCACTGGCTGACTGCTACCTCCCGTGGGGCCTCTCCTTGTTGGCCAGCCTCATGGGCTCCCCATGCTGCACACCCAGTCCTGGGCTGGTCAGTGGAGGGCAGGAGAGGTACCCATAGCGAGCAGGAGTCAGAGGCTAGACTCCATCAGGGTCCCCGTCACCCCAGGTGGACACTGCTACTCTCCTGCCCACCTTGACCCAGGAGATGAGCTCTGCCCCCTTATCTGTCCCCCTCCCCCCACACAGCGAGATACGCAAACAGCCAGCGCCCACTAAATGTCTGCTGAGTGGATGCATAGACGTCTCCAGAGCCAGCTGGTGCAGGTGCTTGCAGCCCACTGCTCCTGGACCTGGGGACTTCAGGCTGCAGGCAGCTTGCAGAGGACAGCGCCCAAGGAGTGGACAACAGTGTCCCTCTGAATCACTGAACTCAGACCTGCCAGGCTCTTGGGGGCAGGTGGAGGTGGTGGAACTGGGTGCCTGGCAACACCCAGAGGACCTAGTAGAAAGAATGCCAGGTGGTATGGGGGAGCGGCTTGTGCACTGTGGGTGGAGGCAAGATGGCTATGCCTGAGAGGGGCAAGGAGGAGAAGGGTGACAGGTCCCAAGCTCCTGGAGCTGACACTGAGGTTTGGTATGGGCTTCCAGACTCAAAAAGGGATTGGGAGCGAGTGGGTTTCTGCAAATGTAGGACGTTCAGACAAAGTAACAGATCCCAGGGGGGCTTCCAGTGAGGTGGCAAAGTAGGGTCTGCTGAGACCCCAGGGGCTGCCTCCTGATGATGTCTGGAGCGTCAGGACCTCCGCCGTCAGCACCTTCCTGGAGCTGATGGTGGAGGCCCAAGGCCTGGTCATATGGACTCTGTGAGATTCAAGGTCCAATGGGGAAGGAGAGGTCAATAAGAACCACTGACAAGTGTCAGTAAAGGCTTCATTGTCCAGCCTCTCAGGGGATCTGGCAGGGCAAACACTGGAAGTACCTCTGACTTGGAAAGGAAAGATGCCAAATAGAATATTAAAAACCAATGTGGTTTCAGGGCCAGCCCATGGCTCACTTGGGAGAGCGTGGTGCTGACAACACC